CCCCCCCCCCCCCCCCCCCCCCCCCCGCCGTAAATCGGTGGAATGATTACTGTCACGTTTCGCTGTGTCCATTGTCTAGCTGCGTGTGATTCGACAAAACGAGCTGCCGGAGTCGTGGGTGCAGCGTCTGATGTATGAAGACCGTGACGACTGCGGCAACGCCTCCTACGTGGAGTACCTCTGCCACATGCACAAGGAAGTCCGGGCACTTCTCAAGTGATCCCCCTCGTAATCTCAGATCGTTTTTCCTCTCTGTCTCTCTCCCCCCTCTCTCTCTCTCTATCTCCCTCTAAAAGTAATCAGCTATTTGTCTCTTTGACCCCCCAACCACCAGCAACCCCTTTTCTGATGACGTGCGTTACCCCACGCCCTGTTCCCTGCCGCAACAATCGTTGCGTTTTAGCAACACCGCGGTTTTTTTGCCTCTCCAAATGACTTTATCGGTTATGATATTTGAATAATCCAGGAATGCGTTTTAAGATATGTGGGTTTTTCTCTATAAACGGGTTATCATGGGCGAGGTTGCTCGTTCTTTAATCGTTCAAGCTCTTGGTTTTGTCGTTTGTCAATGATCTCCATTTCACGGACGATCTAAAAGTGGCAAAACCATGCATTATTGCTTCTACGACAACTAGTTAACAGGGTCATAATGGGTAGTGTTTTTACCTGTGAAATTTCCGTCAGGATCTTGGATTCATACTCTTGTCCGCGACCCATGGATTCCATTTCGCTGAGGAAATTTTGTCGGTCTTGGAGTTCGGCAAACACTGTCAACAAATGCAACAAAAAAATCTTCTGTCAGAGCGCTTGCGTAACTAGACGTAGAGATGCTTTTTTGTTATCGAGACGGTGAAAATTAGACTTAAAGGATATAGAAGATGAACATATATCAAGTATTAATCAACGTGGGACGTGCGGAATTTGACTTGATGATAGAAGTTTCGCTAAACTTAATTTTGCAGTAAATCAACGTTTCCAGATAATGCAACTCACATTCGTCGAACCGACTGATTTCCGGTTTTTGCTGTTTCTGTTGTTTGCGTTGAGTCTCCCTAAGCTTTGCGTGTTTTTTTCCAAGATCTTCTCCATAGGCAAATATCGAAATAAGTCTTTCTTTCTCGTCTTCACGGTTTTTTAGACCTAAAGTGTATAAACATAGCAGGATGTGGCCGATAAGTTTCATGTGAAGCTTTATTAAGTAATATGGAGAAAACTGAGGCCAAAGTGCAGCACAAGTTTGGTATTTTCAACCAGATCGAATCGTTTAAAACACTAGGTTTGGTAGAAAATGAAAAATCAAATAATATTTACTTGCAGATCCACGAAATCGAGGGACCTCATAAGCTCCGCTAGCAATGATTTGGTCTAGTGAACGCAGACCTCGGAAGGCAGGATTTTTTGCGACTCTGATTTACGGAAGGATTAGGAGTGTAGGCAATTTAGTTGTACCTTCGATTTTTGGTTTCCTTTGGTGTAACTTTCGATGACTTCATATCAAACGTACAAGGAAGGGGTTGACCATCTATTGTCACTATAGCTTACTAGATATGATCTACTTGATATTTGGTTTTTAATTTCACTGCGATATCGGTTTGCAATATTTGATTCATTAATTAGACCTAAATGCTTGTATTCATACAAACTTAGTACTTTTTAAAAAACTAACGGTTTCTTTGCTATATTGTGGGCTACGAGAATTCCAAATACACGACCCTTTCTCAATGTTCATCGTTGCCTAAGAAATTCACATGACCTTGATTTTTAAATAAAAATCAGAGTTTCTAGATAATGTAAACAGAATATTGAATTGCATTACTAAAAAAAGTTTTTCGACCTCTATTGTGGGGTGATGTAGAGCGAAAATAACTTCACAGAAAAAATCTGTAATATAAAAATGGAGTCGCCAATTATTAATATCATAAACTGCATAATTTTCGAAAATTAATATGACAGATTGACTTATTATTTTATCGAGGAACCTTCCGTATTCACTAATTGGTCGTGAAGCATTTTGGGTGAGGCCGCCAACGAAAATAATATTGTAATAACATTTTGCATATTGCTGTTAACGAAAATTATTTAACCACAAATTTAATTGAAAATGACAGAAGGTATAATTGCGCTTTCATCTATGGTTGAAATAGATGCAAACCAGAATGCGACAGCATCTTAATTAAAGAGATATTTGCATCTGCACTTTAAAGTTACCATCTCTAAAACGTGGATTTACGAGATTTACGTAGATTTTTTACTTATATTTTGAAGATGCCTATGAACACTTTTATTTAGCCGTTAGAATTCTGTTGAAATATTGGAGTTTTGGCAAACCCAATAAGTTTCCCTGCAATTGAAACTTCTTAACATGTCACAGCAAATTTTTTGCTGCATTGCCTTCTAAGGCCTAAGACATACTAACTTTAGTGCATGATGTATTTAAGAAATCATTTAGGATATTGTGCGTCGTACGAGGCATTTGCAATGGTCCTTTATCCCCCATGAAATCTGGAATAAATCAACTTCTGCAAAAAACGTTTGATCTACAATGCATTTGCATTTCATTCGCTTTGCAAAAAAATTATCGCCATAATTTCCTATGTGTCGTAATATTTTACCTTGTTTTCTGCACATGCACCTCTCTGATTGCATATTAGATAAAAATAAATATGCAGTGGACAGGCGGTCACCTCGCATGAGTGATGCGTGCATGATGACCCTACTGTACTAATGACTCATGCCATTATTATACGCTCGTTAGCAGTCGCCTTTTGCGTACGCGTACTCTTGCGCAAATAAAGACACCTGGCTAGCGAGACACCCAAGAAATTGGTCGGGTTCTCTTCCCTCGGGTTTGTGCGGGCTGTTAAAGTGAGGGTCTAAGGTGGTGCTAGATTGATGCTACTACAAATGTTTGCCAGAAACCCCCAACTATCCTGAGTAGTGTTCATGCAATCAGTTTCAAATTGAAGTCTGAGTTCCTGCTAATTCTATACAACAACGTTTAAGATCTTAAAGCGCATATTTTAACTCAGAAGACTTAACCGACCATCAAGACTACGCCACACTAAGGAACAGTGCTCACACTTGTTATCTTGGAAGATACAACTGCAGGGGTGAGTAACGTGTGAATTATTCATCAGTGGATTCCATTGGTGATATTTCCTAGTACTGTGATTACATTTTTCTGTTGACCGACGCGTGTAGTTCGTGTACACACTTTAATTTGAAGACCAGCATATTGCAGAAACCAGCCCCTGATACATTCCTCCATTTATAGGATATCCGATCAAGCCAGTGAACTTCAAAATCAGCAGGTGCACATTGTAATCAAGAAGATTTAAGCAATCTGCAAAAAAATTATACTTGAGAATAGTGAGTACAGCTGTTACGGAGGATGACAAAACACCAGGGCTGGATGGAATGTGTATTATGCATCAATGGACTCCCACCGACTAGCGGCGGTGCAGACAGGAAAACAACTGTAGGTGAACAACACCAATGTATATGCAAAATACTGGCGAGATTAACGTCCACTATGGAAAAGCAGCATGGCTGGAATAAATTGATGCGGCGAGACATACATCAGACGGCTTTGTTGCCCATACGGATTCGCGAAGTCTAACACAAAGGGAAAAAATTCAAAGCATAACACACAAATAATGTATGCTTATATTCCCTCTAAAACAGTCGCATGCATCCAGGGTGCTAAACAGTACCACAATAACAGAAACAAAGTTTGCAAAACCTGCCTACAATTTAGTGCCTTAACGCCAAAATCTAAGATGCTGAGGGTCTGAACCTCTTACCTGGAGGATAGAAACGATGACTCCGAAAAGCCCGATAGCGGAACCAAAGATCTCAATTATGAGAATTTTGACAAAGAGGGACGGATTAGCGGCGTCGGCGAGGGCAGCACCCGAACCGACTACACCAACGCAGATGCCACAGAAGAGGTTACTGAAACCCACAGTCAAACCTCCGCCGAACATAGCATAGCCCGCAAGATAGTTGGCCCGGATCACCGCATTGGACGCAACAAGGGGATCAAAGGGCTGAAATGGAAAGCAAATTACGTTCAAGTGCAAAATATGTCAGCAAAAAATCAATTTTGGCAAAGGCAGCAATTAGAATTGATTATGAATGAGGAAATAAGTGGAGACAATCAAATGCATTTTGACGTGTGTTAATTTCTTTGGACTTGGAGATTAACACGTTTGGCACGAACAGCTACTAAGAAGGTCAATAAGGGAAAAAGGCTTATCCAACCACTTCATTATGCCGTTAGCGAAACCGACACAGATTTGATAAGGAAAGGCTTACCTCGATCTGGTTACCAATAACGATAGCCATGATGATGCCGTAAATAGCAACAGCTTCGCAAAAAATGATGCTGATCAGGTTCTTGGTACGTATTCGAGGGGCCTTTACCCCAGCACCGATAATACTTGACCCGGTAATGTAGATTCCCCTTTATAAAGTTAAAAAACATCACTTTTTTGAGGGCCAGTCAGGGGACTGATTAATAAAACATTCACCACTTTCTGCGACAACTTAAATTTGATGTCAGGGGTTAAAGGTCCATTACGTTAATGGTTTGATTGACAGCCTTAACAAAAAAATTTGATATATTAAAAAAAAGGTTACGAAAATACCAAGGACTGCAAACATTAGCAGTATGTAATATAAACAGAAGCAATGTTGACGAAGAACAATGACTTAAGAGAATGGTAGACGCAAATGTGATTAGATCGCGAAACTCGCGAATACATCAATCATAACGGAAACGCACCACGCAGCACCAACGACTGACAGAGAAATTGCCAATCCAACACCAACGCATGCCCAGAGATAGGGGGAAATGCCCTCGAGGAACCACCCGATGTCGAAGCGAAATCCATTACCACTTAGTAGATAGTAAAAAGCTATTACAAAATTTAGGCAGTCTTATAACATACCTAAACACAACAGAGAGAAGACAACTATGTACAGAGGAGCCTTGACGCCGACGGACAGACCCGCCATTTTAATTAAACTCAGAGATATACGCACGTCAGAATTGACTAATCAAAAAAGAGAATACATAACATTAGCAACATTAACAATATTTTAGAATGCACCTACAGCAATATGTCAAAACTGATTATTTTTAAAAAAAGTTGTCAAAAAAATTGATGCTTGAGCTTGCCTGTGCAACTTCTTTCAAGTACGTTTTAACAGATTACATTATGACAAGCCAATTTAGTGGGTTAGTTTTATTTAGAAGTGGACTCTTTAAAAAACATTTGCAATGGAAATGTTGCATACTGAGTTATGTCAAAATTTTCTAGGATATATGAAACTTTTATCTTCGAATGCACACTAATTTGTCGCATATAAAATTTTGATGCTGATCAGTAAATCAATACCACAAGAAAAAATTACAGGTAGTCCACAATTTTATCTTTACTATGATGTCCCTTTTGTTCGACATTTTTAATTATTCGCAATTAGTTGACGTCTGGCGGCAGGGTACTTCTAGGCACCATTTCTTTTTGCAAAGTCAAGCTGTCGACATTATCCATTTTACGCACATACGCCAGTTCAAACAACCATAAATATTAAATTGACTTAAACTTAAGCCGAAATGACTTCGTTTACATATAAGATTCTAATAAACACTACTTTAAGAGCTCAAATTAATTAACTTTCAAAAAAAATTGATAAATTTGTGATGACTTGTTCTCATAACCAGTAACAAAATGACTAATTGCAGTTTTCCGGAATACTAAGCATACTTACGGCTTTTATTTTTTGATAATGATGCAATGTCTACATATAAGCTTGTCTTCGAAAACCGAATTCAAAATAGCTTCACACGAACCGAGGGTATTTATTGCACTTGTGATAAAGTAATGTCCCCACTATGGATTCTATTTGAAAGCTAGATGGAAGTCGATACAATATTGCACATCATTTACATAGTACACACGGAGAGCTCTCAATTTTGCTCTTAAAATCACATTTAAAATATTCTGAAAACATGCCCGTGTTTATTAACAAATTCTTAAATCAAATTTATTGACCCTAACGTCCTTACACTGAGCGAAATAAGACCCGTTTTGATCGACTGCCTACTAAGCAAAAACGATGGTAGAACAAAAGATGGTGTGTTAGAACTAGAATCTTTCTTCATTTCAGATTCCATGTTAGGTGTTTCCATTAAATGTATTCCAATGTACATAAAATTAAAATGACTATAAACTAAATTTACAGATTACTGTTAGTAATTACGGCAAAATCTGGAAAAAAGAAATTGATTTCCTCCTTTGCCGACTCAAATCCATCTGCAAAAGAACAAGAAACGATAGTCAATAATAGGTAAAAAGTTGTAATTTGCTAATTTACTAACTGAAAGGCATTCGACTGAGTACGATTTGTCACAATTAAGTTATTAAAAATGGAGCTCAATTTCACATCCTTTTTAGATAATTAGGACATTAATTACCTGAACCATGGAAACCATTTCGAGTGTCTGTTAGACCTAATGTCCCCCGGAGGCTTGTGGGCTCATAAACTACAGCTCTATAATGAGAAACCACGTTTAAACGGCTCGGAAATTGTGAAAACCGCTCAAAGCACACGTTGCTTCTTGCCTGTACACTTTGGTTGGGCCAATCAGCTGGCGCCACTTTGAAATCGCTGATTCACCGGTTAACACGTAAACCCCGATGGGACCACTGTAGAATAAGCTTAGTTGCCATACGCAAAAGGCTTACGAGATCATGTAGTTGACTAAACGCTGGTAGAAAAATTTGCCTAAAATGAAAAATGGGAATAGTGACCTCGATGTCAGGTCAAAGCCCAAGAGGGCGCCTCCAATAGTAACGCCAAACAAACAAACAAACATCAATTGCATCATAGGAACAGCCAACGCACAGGTGTCGACTTCTCAAGTATACTGCAGTGGTCAACCAATTTAATTTTGTGTTTTTGTTTTTTAACAGTGGTTTGTCACGAAAAGCACTATAAATCGCCTTTCTATGGAGACTCATGCAAACTGGACACAAGTAGAGATTGAAGCTTTCCCTTTCATATAACACAAGCTGATCCATTAGTAAGCGACTCGATTTAAAGCTGAGTAAGGTTATCATTGGAGATGTGATCATTTCAATATACCCGGAAAAGACTGCTGAAACAACAGTTTATAGCAACTGTTCCACAATCCCCTAGGTATACATATATCATCCAAATTCATTAGAAGATCTGCCCTAGTTTGCTAAGGAATATCAGTCTTCAAACGTCACGAAACGTGAAATAAGTACGAGAATCCAGTGGTACTGTTTTGAGGTGTACAGATATATCATTACAGAGTAAACGAGGTGGATAGAACCAGCATTTCACCACATTTATAGTCGAAAACCTCGACATCAACCACATGGGATCGGGCGGAAGGAGTCAGAAATCGGCTGAATTAACCAACAGTGTGAACAGTAGCTCACCTCTATGCGCAGCGTAGAACTCTTCAGCGCGCTGGCGCGACATGCGAATCTCACGATACGCCAACGTCCTCAAGCCCACCGCCGACATCATCCGTTCGGCATGCTGTGTGAGGCAGATTTAAACAACACAGTAGAAGCTGCTGTTTGATTTATCACCACGAGCATTCTCTATGCTACACAAAAGCTCGCTCACTTTTCGAAAGGCGTGTATTCGCTGGACGTCGGGTTTGAGGATAGCAAGGGTAAATTGTTCGACCCCCATCCTAGAAAATTAAGGTAAAAATGTATTTAAATTGCTCATCCCAACACCCCACAGTTAGAGAAAGTCTTAGGAAAAGAAGTGCATGTAACGCGTGTATTTACAAGACGGGGTGACATATAATTGGACAGAGGGGGTGGGGTGGATAACTAGTCGGACCGCTGAAACGCCGCCAGGTTGCGTGATATTTCATCAATGATCTTCAAGGGAGGTTCAATGACTGGCTGATTGTCGTCCTGAGGGGGAGCTGTGGTCAGAGTAGCCAATTTCTCGGACACCTGAAGAATAGAGAAAATGGATAAAACGAAGAGAGCTCGTTTCTACAGCAACCCTCCAGCCAATCAGTGAAAGGAAAGCCCTCCTACCTCAGACACGCAGTCAGTGCTCTCCGTGATGCGAGTCAGAAGATCGGAGAACTGGCGCAGGCATTTGACACCCCTGCGGAGGGACAGGATGTCGGAAGCAAGACTGTCCGCCTCAGCCGAGGCGGTGCCGTCGTCGTGGTTGGTGGTGGTGGTCGAGGGGACGCCATCGGGATACAAGAGGAGCACTTCGTCGCGCAGCGACGCCACCTCCTGCGTCAACTTTTCGTGCGCTTCTATCCACTAGACAAAGAGAACAAAACTAGACACCAGCACGTCCTCTGATTGGTTGACAATTTAGCTGGCCTAGATCCACACGCCTGAGGTGATACCGAGGACGTTAAGCAGACGAGAACGACAGGAAAGTAATACCGGTATCGCAGTAGATTAAATGAAGTCAGATTTCTGACAAATGCGAATTCGGGAAAGTTTCACATACGCTCATAGTGCAATGGTGAGGTCTTCTGTTGTCTCAGTGGAACGTAATTCCTTTACGATTGGTCAATGCTGACCGTTATTTTCTAATTACTTCCCCCTTGCATTCTCATTGGCTGTTGAGAGTAAGTTGGTCGTCGTTTGGTGTTCTGGAAGCAGCCCAGAATACACAACACCAAATCAACACTCAGATCATCTTTGGTGCAACTGAACAGCAATCGACTTCTACATCATGAATAGTTTTTTCGTACGACTTACTTTTCGTTCGTTTTAATTGGTAGTGTTAGGCAAACTTTTGCAACTATATTCTCGTCTTTGAGAGAAATATTGGATCTAAAATTGGTCAGAAGTGGCCTCCTTGTGGTGCCTAAGTGAAGTAAGACGATGGCAGAAGTAATCTAAATTAAGGGTAACACCACCTTCAAGTGGGAACTCCATTGGGACAGATGACATAGCTGACCAATAAGAAGATGGCCTAGAGGTCACTTCAAGCAGGTGATTGATCAACAAGAATACCTAGCGACGGGCATGGGTTCGTGACTTTGCGTGATTCTTTTGCTTGTTAGAAGACAGAAAACCCTGTTTATATTAAAAATGCTACCCAAAAATATCGAATTAATGTACAGACCTCTTCTGAGACCGGTTGGCCGTAGATGGGGGGAAGAGGGTTGGTGTCCGTTGGACTTTCGAGTGGCTGAGAGGTCGCCTTCTGACGACCTTGAAGGCCCGTGGAAGTCGCAGTTGCGGGTGCAAGAGAGAGCGGCTCGGACGGTGGGAGTTTTTGGAGGCAATCCAGTACGTGCGTTGCGAATTCCGCCGCGTTGGACGACATGGAGCTTCAGCAAGAAGAAGATACTACTCAAGTAAATTACTACAGTAGTGCCCTACGAACCAGCACAGGTCAGTTCCTGAGGCATTCACCAAACAATTCCACGCACATTACCGGGATAGAGGGCGATGCAACAATGACATGTTACTTGAAAGCCGAGAAAGGAGAGGAGAGGAAAAAGGCAAATTTATTGAGATATAAAAGCGGATACACCTTAACAGAATGCGTAGGGAACAAGAGGGATAGACGAGTTCTAGTCAAGCATGACGAGGTCATCGTCGCCGTCCCCAACAGCCTGCACATCGTCTACTCTGGGCATTTTCGAGGGTCGCTCCAGCTCGAAGACGACGTCGTCCTCGTTGTCGTCGTGGTCATCGAGGACGACGTCGTCGTCGTCGTGCCGACGCTTGGAACCGGTCGCCAGTACCGTGGAAGTCGACGCCTCGCCTGAAAGGGACACAGCACCCTCCGACATGTCCTTGATGAGCTCATGTTCGCCATCAATGGTCCACGTGTTGAGGGCATGACGTCTGTCGAAGGTACCTGCAAAAATCCGCAGGTAGAAGGTCATGTTCTGGCGGAAGTCATCGCAGCGCAGTCGATGCTGCGCCGAGCCTTCTCCGGTCAAATTGAAGTCCGCCAGGGTCTTGTGCTCGATGTCTGCAAAGACAAATTCAACGGGGTCATTCTAGGGAGACAATGAGACATTATAGCGTTGACGGGGCCAAAATCACAGCGTGAGCAACAACATTTCAAGGCAAAATTTTGCGATAAGTTCGCTATCGTGGCAAATCAACGCCCACAATGACGCTTTTCGGGGAAAATGATCATTAGGCAAGCTCGATCAACCGGTATTAACCAACAATCCATTAAAGTATACCTCGGTATCACTTTGGTAGAATTACAAATATTTTAGTAAATACCCAAGTACTCACTAACGAGAATTCAGTCGTGTAAATATTTAAACGCTTTTGGTTACAGCTCATTCGACTTCTGCAGTATTGTCGCATGCTTGGAAGATAAGTTACAAACATCCAACGGTTTCCGGTGAATAGTAACATTTGCGGTTGTTTGCGTTGCTAGGATACGTTATAATTAAACTTTTTAGAAATTATATATGATCCCGAGTTGACCCTTGGGAGAAGGCCATTCTCAAACAAATTGTGGTTGCGCATAAAACGGCAATTTTGTCAATATTGGCACACCCGGTTCTAAAAACGGCACTTTTCAAAACGGAAAAAATGTCTGAACAGTTCAGCGGTTGCGTAGCTACGCGGAACAGCTGGTCAAGCACATCTAGTAACCACGGAAAGACAACCGTGATTCGCAAACACGCCTGACACCTCCTCACCAAGGTCATTTGTACAACGATGCAAAAAACGGACAGTTGTGGCATTTCAACAGTCTGAATTGAAAGTCAAGCAACGATGTTTGGGTTGTGTTTCTAAATGGATTTAACAATCCCTTAGATTAGCGGCACTTGCGAATGTCAGGGCATTTTCTAGTGGTTGCGTTAAGGTCACCAACGTGCAAACTTTGAGAAACATGGTTTTGTCAGAAAGTTCATAACCTTTTGCCATGAAAATTTAGTGCGGAAAACCCTTGCAATTCATACCAATAAGTTTACGGAAGACAGGCCGACCAATAATTTTTGAGACGGTCATGTGCTTTCCTAAGATTCCTGATTAGCTCATTTGGCAAATTTGATTGGTTGACATCATATAGAGACTTTGAATGGTTAGAGCCAAATTTTGCGCACTGATCGCCTTCAACGAAGTAGCAGGTTCAAAACACGAGCACGGATGTGAGGTAGGAAGAAGGGCTATAAGTGCGAACACGAACCCTTAGTTTCGTCTTCATCGGAGGAGATGAGGATGACACCCCTGCCGTCGATTTCCACGTCGGGGGCGAGCATACCCAACCACTTGATGAGCACCTCGTCGCGTAGTTGACTCAGCTGCATATCGTGCGGCTCGCAAATGAGACGCAGCTCACGCTTTGGGCCGCCTGCGCACACAAGACAGTGGGGGTTTGGGGGGATTGGGCGACAGGGGGCGAGAAAGCGTCCCGTGGCGGTCGGGTGACGGTGAAGATACACACAGCGGACGGCCTGTGCGAGGAAAACTCACCCAACTTATGTGTGGAAAACGGTGACGCAGGGTTGTGAGTTGGAAGAACACCACGCAACTCACATCTATGCGGTTGTGCAGTACGTTGAGACCTTGAAGCACCATGGCGCCGGCGATGATGGCGTTGGTGGTGGCGATAGACGGGATGATATTACCGGCGAGAGATTTGATCGTGAAACGCGTCTGATCGGCACAGCCGGGGACGTGGAAAAGCATCGCGCGGATAATCGAAGCAGCAGCAACAAAGTCCATGGCCTCTGTGTCATCCTGACAAGGCGAAAATTTAGAGATACCAAATCACATGAAAAATATAAGTGGGGGTGGCGATTAACTGCCATGGGTTTCCATGGGTACTCTTATTTACATAAGACGTTTTTCAAGTGATTAACGAAAGAGGTCGCGTAATTATGATTTCGGTTCGCTAGTAAGCCATCACGGGGAAATCGATCCATATTTATACAGCCTCGGTGAGCCAGAGTGACTGCCGAAACTGATTCAATGCGTTGCCCAATCTTAAGTTCTATGAATTCAAGAACTTAGGGAGTATGAAGTGAAGCATGAGCGGTAATTATAAAATGAACTATCATCTGCGTCTTGATATAATACAATAGAATTCAGGCTTGATGATAGCGGGAACTAAGCTCACCTTGTCCCAAGTGATCGGTTTGTAGTTGCTGTTGGCTTCTGAAATGCCGGCTCGACTACGAAGAGTGCGACAGCTAGAGAGGAAAAGACTGATCCAACCAGGGAGGTCCAATTTCCGCTGATCTCTCAAAACCTCGGTTCCACTGTCTTCCGAATCAAGGCCTGAAAAGAGGCAAATTGCCTGTGCTCACAAAATATGAGCATTAAATCACAAAGCATCGAGTGGACCCGGTGAATAACTTGTATCGCCTTGGGAAAAATGCACGAATTCATCACATGACTTCCGACACATGGACGAATTCAAGATGTGGGTAAACAGTTCGACAAATACAGTCATGAAACACCAAAACGTCATCAACTGTAGTCCAACAAATGCGTCAACAGTGTAGCGGGCCAGATGATTATTACAATAAAAACCGAAAAGGTACCCGGATTTTTAACGCCGAGACTAAGCGTCTCTCGGTCAAGTGGAGTGGGAGCCTTCCGCTCAGGTCGGTTTTCCCATAAACTCTTCATGGTCAACAAAGTAAGTACGTCGGTATTGAAGAGGCGCCAAGCCAATGACTCCTCAATGGTTTCAAAGTCGGCAGTGACCGATACACGAGCCCACAGACTCGAATTTTCACCGCTACCTCCAGTGGGAGTACTTTCATTATTTTCAGGAGCAGTACCTCCAGCTTCAGGGTCATTGACATCAGGCGAAACGTCTTCACTCTCAACATCAAGTTCGCCGAATAATTGGCTACAGTAAAAGTGAGAATGCCGATATTATTAGAAACCAAAGACAGTGTGGCAAAAGCAGAGCACAAAAGTGCGAACCCACTTGAACAAGAATTTCGCCCAAACAACACAATGCACTGGCTCCGAAGGGGTATTCCTGATGGTACATGTAGGGTAGGTGCGTCTATCGGTTTCTCGAGGTTGACATTCGAAGCAGGCAGCTTTGCGCTTCCCAGGATCGTTATTTTCATTTTTTATGAACAGAAGTGGCTCAACTTGGCCTAAATAACCCGAAGTGCCGGATTCAATTAATGGTCTTCCAACATGAACACACATCCGATTAACGTGTCGTCTGGCCGCTAAAAGACTTATGTTAGCGTTCATAACACACCTTGGTTGTCAAGCGCATTAAAAATAATATCGAATTTCGCAAAAAAATCCGGTCCAAATTTGGAGCTGAAAATGCTAGCATGATATGCTTTAAGGTCAACGTCTGGTTTAAATTGTTTGACACTCTCGCAGGCGACCTAGAGACGAAACTAGGCCAAATTACTACAACTAACTTCGGCTTTTGATTTCCCGACGTGTATCCGTCGAAACAAGAACTGTCTGTTTAAATTGCTAACGTCTATTGTGTCCAAGTCAATCTAAGAATTAAAGTGTTAAGAATAATGCTTACAACAGATATTTTACTAAAGCCACTATAAATGAGGTTTTTTAAAAGTTCACAACCAATTCCACCGGCACCAACAACAAGGACATTGTAGCTGGCACACTGCCCCAACATTTCCCCTGAGATGTGATCAGTCGGATTATTAAAGAATGATTGTAACTTCGCAGTCCAATCAAAGAATAGGAATTTTAAATACCAGTATTCGCAATGTCAAATTCAAACCAGATTAATGCGACATGCGCGTTTACAATTCTCTTACAAGGAAATCTGTATTTAGAGGTTTGCATAGAGTAGAAACTCTGATACATTGACCATTGGTCACAAGTACAAGTACAAAAGTCCTATTCATAGTGTTAATTCGCAAACACTTTAGGTGTGCACAAGTGATTTGTTACATTAATAAAGCGACGGTAAAGGCTGTACGACAGGATCAACAAATGGATTTACAGCAGGAAGACTTTGCATATAAGCAACTTGGGATACAAGTGCTTGGGGCATATAGAATAAAACAGTGATTATTTAAAGAGGTCGTTGTTTGGTTATCGAAAAGTAAATGTGAAATATTTTCAGCTTTTAGTAAAAATTTTTTTTAAAGATGAATGAATTGGTATAATCATTCAAGTATTTAAAATGATACCGTGAGAAATTGAATTTTTGCACTAAAGATAGATTTTAGCTTTCATTAAATAACATAGATTTGTCATACGCAAAATATTACATTATTTTATGGGGATTAACAAAAGATATCTGGTTGCAAGCATACACATTTAGGTGCTTACTTACAAACCTCGGCCATCATTCAAGTCCAGATGTTTTATATTGTTCTTCTTTCACACATACACTTGTCGTTTTTGTCAAATCTATGCTTTTTTCTAACCATGCACTCTTTTTTTGTTTTAAGGACATTTTTAGCAAAAAGGGATTTTCTAGGTAACTAGCGTTTAGGTTAAGCATTTATGAACATAAAATTACTAGTCTTCACCGATCATATAATTTGCTTATTTATCAGGCTATCGTTTTATATTTTATGACTTGAACTGACCGCAAAACATACATGTATTTACCACATGCCAGCATGGCTTATTATTAAATAGTCAAATCATAATTTTAGAACTTCGTCTTTATTAAGGCTTAAAAGTACTTTATTTATGTAATTATTTTGTTTTTTGTTTGATTTTAAGGAGCTTGATCGAACAGGAGACAAAGACCTGTATATGTTGTTCAATAGACCAGAGTATTTCTAAACTACTGACAGTCAAGTAGTTGTATTTACTGTGACAGAAGAGCATTGCATTAAAAGGCAACAATATTAATGCGAAAAGTAAAATCTTATTAGTTATAATCAGGGGTTTGTGTAGTAAATAATAATCTTAGAATTCTTTCGTCAAGTCATGGTTGATGAACCTGGCAGTTTGTTTCTTAAATTCGGGAATTTCATCCATGGTTTATCGCTATTTTTATTAAAGAAGTGAGATTTCATCAAAGTAATACTGTCAGAGGAAATCCAACCAGTTAAAATTTATTTTAAGCTACTTTGTTAATAATTAACAAAGTATTGGTCTGCACGGTGTTAAAGTGCTGAATAACGTAATGATTTCGAGACCACAGAAATAATATAGAAGGCAAATTTTTGAGTAGGCATTAGTGGTTGTAATCGACATTACATCAATTGCGATGCACGCTTGGGTTCTGTTCAATATGTATGCGTTTTTTTTTGCAATGCGTTTTGATATTTATATATTCTGTCAATGTATCACGTGACTGCTTCATAGGATCTCTATTATACGTGTGTAGACCAAATACTACTTCACGGACATTGCCTAAGATGTCTGTATCTACTTTAATTACGAAAAACATCATTTTTTTTTCATTTTTTAACCATGGTATCATTAACCAGAAGAAAGTCTTGGAGCTGTCGTGCCGACAAAACTCGGCGTCAGGTCTTCTAAAACTACAATCGCAAAACTTTTTTTGCAATGGAAATATTTATATAAAAAAATAATCGTACATGATTTTGTGAATGGCAGGTCAAAGAATACAAATTTCTCGAATACAACAGCAAACAAATTAATCAGGGTAGTGATTGATGCCAAAAGGAGAGGGGATATTAGTCGACGCTTAGAAGGTCCACGACTCGATTTTTTTATTTAGAAAAAAACTTCCATTACGGAAATTGTCGGGAGTCGAATCTTAATGAACATTCCAGCCATCTGCCTTTGAAAAAGGGGAACCCTATTGATTTACAGAGATAAATGCAATATGTGAAGCCGTGACTAGCTGAAGACAAACTCGACGGCCATAGATGAGGACGGTTGTATACATCCTTTGTTGTCGTGGATTGTCCTCGGATATCCCCCAAATGCAGTGCGAGGTTAAGATCTAGCTTTTGATTTTTCTGGAAGTAGGAACGTCGCTTGTGGCTGCTTGACAGGGGTTATTGGCAGTACCTATTTTCGTGGCCTATAACGTTGGATTGTTTACACCGATGCTGCTTCCATCGGTAGGATCTGATAAACTTTACTGGCTATTGGCTAATGGATTAAAATGACATGCAAAAGATTTAAATTTTCGCATTAAATGCTTAGGTTTAAATCCCAGATTTAGCAGTCTGATTACCAATAAATGTGTTGATGAATTTCCTATTCTCATTTCACTAAACGCATTACCTGATGGAAAAAGTAATGATATATTTTTGGCATGATATGGGCTTTATCAACCCAAAAACGCTAACGATTTGCTGTATTCAAAGAAACAGTGTGGTCTAGTTTATTAAAATGGTTAAAATATTAAGCAACAAAAAACCATTAGCAAATAATATAACAACGATTAATTTTGTACTCCAACATTAAAAACAACCGAAGACTCAAAAATTGACAGACAATTTATTTTGACATGTATGATTTTTGTACCCACTATGATGGTATGTGCGCTATGCACTAGTATAACTAGATCCATGGCAATTTAACTTCCAACATGAAGTTCCTTCAAACTCTAATTCTGGGAATGTGGTTTTCGACATATTCGTATCATTAGTGGAACAATACATGATCATATGCTCTGCATCTACAACTAAAAAAAAGACTATTGGTTGTCAAAAAGCTTTTCTATAACATTACTTTTGTTTGAGAATAAATGAAAGGTAAAACCATCCTTGAAGGTAAGTGTACTAGTGTAGAAATAGCCTTTTAATGAAATAACTTAAATGTAGGATCAAAGTGTCTGGATGTTATTTAAGTTTAGTTCATTAAAGTCACTAAACCGCCAATAAGGATTTTACGCTGACTATAATATTTAGTTTCTTAAGACATTTAGAAATATTTTTTAATCAGATTTTATTGTTTCGATTAGCTATAAAAATTAAGCAGTCTTAGGATATTACAGATTTACTATGACTATCGCAGAATAAAAGAATTTATATTTACGCAAAAAACTATGAAGATTTAATCTTCAGATGAAGAAACTGTCTACTTTGCATTACTATTTAAATTTTCACTAAAAAATACAAAAGTAATCAATCAGTTTATTAATCTAACGACCAGTAAAATACAAATTTATCGTGAGTCAGTTCTTTGGCTTTAAGCATCAAGTTTCAACGAAGTAGTGCAGATTTTAGCGACTGGTACAAAAACAGATAAATAAGTCTATATGGCTCTGCTGTGATAAAAATCAGCATACAGTGAGCCAAGGAAAACATAATATAAGGAGATTTGGTTTATGTTAACGTATTATGTG